TTAAAATCGTGCCTTTGTTTTTCTCTTTGTTTTGTGAATTAATTTCTTTTTACCCTTTTGATGTTTCCTTTTGTCTGTTTGAATTGTTCTATTTTTTATGTAAATTTTTCCTGGTTTTTTTTTTAATGCAGTTTTTATTCTTAAATGATCGTTAAATAAAAACCGGCACTCAATAATCACCATCATTATCATCGTAATTGTCAACATCATCACTGGCTATCTTTCTTGTAACTTAAACTAGTTCTCCGTGCTAAAGTGACGTATCTAGGATTAATGACGTGGGTTGGAAGCTGACGAGGGATATGATGGGGTTGTGAAGAAAGCCTAAATTGGGGCTGCATTGTGAGGAATTGGAGTGAGGCGAGGCCCTTATACTGTATCTACAGACTGGCTAGCAACACTGTTCACAAACAAACGCCAAAGCACAATAATAATCATTCATTCATCAATCAATTTATCAATTTTAAATTTTATTTAAAAACTTGCATTTTGCAAAAATAAAACATAATTACATGTGATTTGCAAATAAAGAAATAGAAAAAGAAATAGAGGAATAATGTCCATTACAAAACCGTCATGAAGCACAATTGAGAGATGCCTATTTTATTCTAACTTAATTTACGGAACATGAGAATGTGACCATTCCAGGCCGAAGCCAGGATAGTCAAAATGAACTAAGTTTTTTTTTGTGATTTCATAGTGAAATTTGTGACTTGAACAGGAACTACAGTAAACTGTATTCAGTTGAGCTGTAGTTTTTGAAAAAGTGTTGTTATATAGTGTGAAAAAACTGCATCCTACTGGAATGATTTGGGCAGTGTTATTTTAAGTATACAGGAACCAAGATACGTAGCATGTCTCTCCACATTCTTTATCCCGCTGAATGTAGTCGGTCAAGGTATAATTCTTAAAAAGAAACGACATTCTAAAATAATAAAAATATATATAAAAATATATATAAAATATATAAATTTCGGCATTTAAGTATCAAGATTAGGTTATATAAATTTTACAAGCTTACAAAATATACAATAATTTACAAATATTAAATGAGAAAGTGTTTACTAATTTGTATAATTCCATCATATTATTATATTATAAACAAAATATATTGTATAATTTATAAAGCAAATTTGCTGTCCCAAAAATTTGATTCTATGGTTAAACAATAACTTCATGTATTTCCTTAATACCTTTATTGCCCTAGGATACGTGCACTGTGGCATTAACTTTATTGAGTGTCATAATCAGTGGCGTAACGGCTCTGAGCTCTCACTGGCTAAAGCCAGGGGCCCCGGAGCCTCAAGGGCCCCAGCAAATTCCAATATATTTTTTTAACAAATGAATAACCAAAGCCCTTTTTCAAGCCAAAGTCTGTGAGATACAGAGATGTTTATTAGTGATTATTAGTTTAAATTAAGTATGCTTTATGTGTCAAATCACGATATATAAACTTAGAATTTGAATGTGTAGAACAGGCATTAAAATATGTCATAGAACGCTAACTAAAAACACTCTTCACTTCCCCCCACCCCTAGCTTGTGGGCTCCTAAAGGGCCCCTACCCAGCAGCCTCCGATCCCTTTGTTACGCCGCTAGTCATAATGGCAGTGGTTGAGGTTTTGCTCTTCCTGAAGGGAGCGGGGGAACTAGCCCCTGGCCAACCACTGTGTAACCGTCTTTTGAAATTGTTGGTACCAATGTGTATCTACAAATGTTCTTCTTGCATTATAATTAAGTTCCCTAGTAGTATTTCTGGAGTGCTTCAGCAACAGCTGCCTTTCCAAGTTCTTCCAATGCATCACACATTTTTCCAAGGTGGTTAACTCCAGCTTTTTGCCTTTCTCGCCACTTGACTAGCATTTCCAGACTTGCATCCACAGTTGGTGGTGAAAAGTCCAGTTCAATTCTTTCTATTTCAGGTTCCATCAGACCAATGATGCTTCCAAAGGATTTCCAGTTCTTGCCAAGCTCCTTGGCAATAAATTGCATATCAATGTCTGCCAAGAATCCTAAAGGAAAAGCAAAGACATCAATATTAAAACACTAACATTGTAGACTTCAGTCTGGCCATGACAGACGTTGGTAAAATGCATACATCATTTTATCGGGCGTACATCGAAACAGTGCCACCAACGTCTACAGCAAAAAGATGACAGAAGCACTTAAAAGTGATATTGTGGATGTATCATAATATCAATCTTTTGTTCCAATATGAAACATTCTAAAAATTACATTAAAAAATATATTTTTAAATAATAATGGTCAAGTTGAGTGACTGAGTGGTAAATCAGGGGCAATGCTAATTAAAGCCTTAACATTGGTGCTGGATGGGTCACTCCTTGCCCAGATTTTGGTTGGTAGAACCAAGTTGTTGTTTGTCGTGTCAAGAAAACATGACTGCAAATGGAACATGCGGATACAGTTAATTTACACAATAGTAATGATCTATCTGGTATTTGGAAAATATTTCTCTATTATTTTCACAACATCATATTGTTCATGCCACAATCTCCGCTTAGCCCAAGGCACCTTTACTACTAATTTGTTGATTAAAGTTGTTTCAAGTTCTTTATGTATGTTGGTAGTATGCAGCGATCTTGTTATCATTTTCAATCTATGCTGCCTTCAATGTTGCGAGTTGATTTATGTTCCTCTCTGTTTCTCCATCGGACAAGCATTTCTAATGCGGCTTTCACAATCTGTTTCTGAAATTTTGTATCTACAGTCCAAACTGGTAGGATGTTAAGGCATTGAATGTACTAGTTTTGTGCGCGCTAAAGTAGGCAGCAAATGACTAGGGATATTCCCCAGGGAGCAGAGAAAGTTGCCCTTTGTGCTGGTTTGCCATTTTGTATAAAAACGCTTGTGCCTTTGATCATTCAATTTGAAATTGGTGCCTTATAAATATTTGGGTATTACCATTATTATTATAATACCTGGCCAGAAAATGTTTTTTTTCAATTTAATTTTCAATTAAAAGCTAATAATACATTAAGCCATTAAAATGGTTGTTTTTTGTCATTTTCCACACTCTGAAATGATTTAAAAATATGCATTTTTGTGAAACTGAACAAACTACACAACAAAGAATAATATCAAAATGATGTTTTTAAGATTATATTAATCAAATGAATATTTTATCATGAATAATGCATTACTAACCATCGTATTCTCTCGTATCTTCACCTGCAATTGCATTGGCTTCTTTAACCTCTGACAATTGCAAGCCAAAGATTTTGTTAGCAAGCTCTGTGAGTCCTTGTTCCTTCAAAGCTCTGCACATCATCTCAACTTGATTTTTCTCGTAGTTTTGTTGTTTCCTCCATTCTGTCAGCATATCCATTAAGCTCTCTGGCAATCGTCTCTTATCACTCCATATTTGTTGGATCCTGTTCCAACTGAGACCCAGTCTGACGCCCAGTTGTTTCCACTCCATTCCCATGCCCTCGGCTATACGAAGCAGGTGCTTGTCTTCAAGATAACCAAGACGTTCATCTGAAGTGAAAATTAAAGTTAGTCTAGCACAATAAAATAATTGGAATAATAACATTACTGTAACCAAAATAATATAATATATTAAATTAATAATTGTAATAATACCTAATAGTCATATAGCTGTCTTAAAAAAAAAAAATTTATGAAACACAAAATAGTAATAACCTCTGAAACACTAACCTGGTGGCGCTGTTTCAGCATCGCTGTAACCTGCTGCTGGCATTGAAGAATCTACAAATGAATTAAAAACAATTTAATACAGAATAAAATGACTAAAATTGACTGCTGTCTATCACATTACATTATGGATCAGGACAAAATCAGCTCACATAAATTTTTAATGGTGAATTTATACTAAATCAGAAGTGGGCTGGAAAAACTTGTTGTTATCAAGCTGGTTGTCTTTAATATTAATAATAAAATGGGATGCTTCTGGAATTAAATCATGTTACAATTTCTGGGATAACTTTTGACTCTGTGCCTCTTTGTTTGCTTTACAATAGCTTTTGATATAAAATCAAATAAAATCAAATCTGAGAATAAAGAGTTGTAAAAACAGTGCATGAATGTTGTCAAAATCAAAAATTTAGTTTGGCCCTCTGACCACTTTTATCCCTTTATTACTGGATAAAGCTTTCAATATTAAACATTGATTTCAAAAAAGCAATTTGAAAATAAAAAAAAAATCTACTGTATAATAAAAAAAAACAAACATAATTATGGCACTAAAGGACATCAAACACAATAGACAATTTAAAATTGAATAACATATATATTACAGATTTGATATAGAATAATTAAATGCTGAGATTAATATAAACTTTGAGCTTATTTTCAAGTTTGTATTTTATTTGTTTAGTAGAGGAATAAATAAGGTATGCTAAGATTGGAGTGGTATTTTACAAAACAACGTGATTTGAGGAAAGGTGGTGGCTTCTACTTGCCGAGATGATTTGAACCACCTGCCAATATGAAGGTGAAGAATGTAATCCCAATGATTTGGACCACCTCCCAACATAAAGCTGAGGAATGTAGTCCCAATGATTTGGACCACCTCCAAACATGAAGCTTAGGAATGTAGTCCCAATCATCAAACAGCGAGGGAAGTAGAATTCACTGCTTTACCAAAATAAAAAATCATGTTGTATATGCATTACACTACCTCACAAATATTAAACAAAAAACTGTCCGTCTACATTAGCCATTACTTGCAAAGATGCTGGTCCAGATATTTGCAAGAGGGGGATGGGGGTCCAGACAGAAAAAGGGACTCTTGTATAAATGATATAAGTTTATACGATGTGGGGTACAGTCGTCTGTCTTGTCACTCTCCCATCTTTTGAAATTCTCGAAAGCCAAAAACAACAACAAAAATAATAATAATAATAATAATAATAACAAAAATAACAACAAAAACAACAACAACAACAACAACAACAATAATAATAATATTAGCCTGAAAATTATTCTCATTATTAAACTCCCCCCCCACCCCCCACCACAAAAGAAAAAGTTGCTAGCCTGGCTATTTACCAACATCTGTATAATTATAGTCATAACTACTGCACTGCGTACCAAGTGGAAATGGCCAATGAAATGTTACCAATATTTAATACCTAATTAACATATTTAAAAAGTATAGTAGAATGTTATCTGGTATTGCTAGTTTTCCTTAGTTTTTGTTATTTACCTGTCACTAGTTGCTTATTCTTGAACATCCTCTGAAGTTTAATTGTGGTTATCAATTTCTTCCCGCATGGAATACAGTCATTTTCCAGGCACTCCTCCAAATCGTGGAAGTGCATTTCTCGCAAGCTTGTCCAG